CAGTCTTTCAGAAGAGAAACATCCACATTGTTTAATCTTAAATTAAAACTTAATTTCTCTAATGCTTTAAGGAATATGGACACAGAATATACACAAAAAAATGTCTCAGCCTTCTTAAGAAAGTTTTTTGTATTACTAAAAGAAATAAAAGTTCCATGCAATGTATTCTTTAACATGGGCAACACCCTAATTTAGTTATCACATCTGCTGTCTAGGTGAGAGAAGTGTCTGTGTGGTCAGGTCCTGGTAACAGGAACAGAAGCGCTGGCTTCTGGTTTTAATTTTGCTAAGGGTATAAAATAAGAGTTTGGATAATTTACATCCCGAGTACAACATTCAGTACTGCAGCATTTGATTTTGAACAAGCTGCCACCTCCTTAATATTGATGCCGAAGCTTCCTGTACAGTGAAGCCTATCACGTTCTGATTTTGCTTGCACTGGCTTGGCTGCAAGTGTCTGAAACAGACCTGAGTCTTTCCTCAGTGGCTGGGAAACTCCACTCTGGCTATATCCCAGAATTTATTGAGCTGAAACAATGCGATCATTTTCCGGTTCAGTTTCACAACACACCTGCACAAAAAGCCCTGCTGGTCCATCATGCCACAGGGGCAGGAATGAGTGACAGGACTATAGTAAGGCAACATTGCCATGAATGAGCAAAGAGTAAAAAAAAATCAGGGAGGAGGAGAAGCCAACCTGAGGAGTGCATCTCGAGCACACTCCTTCTTAGGAGTTAATCCCTGTTCTCCTGGACCGTTCATAGGGGTTAGAACTGCCTTAATCAGCCTTTCCACGGCATAGTGATAATCTACACATACTTCAACAGAAACTAAAACCCATTCACGAGCTGTGAGAAAGCCAGGTTTAAACTTCACACCTCTGCTTAAAAGGAACATCAGAACCATGTGTTTAAATCGCCTGCAAAAGTCGCAACCTTGCTAATGGGTGCACATGGACAAGCAGTTTTAGACTTTCCCAGCGCAGTGGTTTCAATGTGTGTGAAACAATAAAACACTAAGTTGTGCCAGTTGTACCAATATTGACTCCAGTGATCTCGGCGTCCCACTATTTCAAAAACTAACGTTAAAATAGCTATAAAGGGTCAGACTGAAGTTCCTTTTTAGACAGTAACTTTTGTCTTGCAAGGGAGCAGTAGCAGAAAACTACCAAAAAAACCACCACAGATCAAGAAAGGGGCAGCCCCTAACACACCTCCAGCCATTAGCAACTTGTAAGTCAGGGACTTTGGAGCCAAATTGTGTCTGCATATTTATTCTTAACTATATTTTCCTCCACTAAGCATTTCTTTCAGCAGTAACATATGTTCAGATACCTTGTCTGCCTTTTTTTGAGCTCATGTAAATCTGTTGTATCTGTAATACCCACTAGCAAGCACAGTGAAGCAGTGCTTTATTGAAGCATTTATACAATGCACAAGTTTCATCAGAAGAGAGTAAAAAATATCAGAATAAATAAATATACTCAAGTTATATAAACCAAATAAAATAAACATGAACAGAATAAGCATACAAAGTGTAACTTGGACGCTAGAGCAGTCTGCTATTCATCAGTGGACTAACTAAACCTATGCACCCAAGTACTTTATACACTTCCAGAGCTAAACAGCCCTTACAGAGCACTTGAGGAGCCTCGGAACAAAACCAGAGGTACAGCAGACACAGGGTGTCTTTTCTGTGGGTTTAACCCTTTGTGCCTCACCTTCCACACCTGCTGTGTTCTCCTGCTTCAGAGGAGTGTTGTAAGCCTCACCTATGCACTGTCCAACACATAACTTTGTATTTAAGTTCAGTAAAAACACTGACGCGCATAAAAAGCCACGCCCACCTAAGTCTTTTGCAAGACCTCTTTTTTTTTTGCAAGAGGTTTAGCGAATGGTGAGAGTTTTGAAACCTGGAGTGGAGGGACACCAGAGAAGCAAAAACCACTTATTTTTAGCAAAAGCGCTTGCAATAAAAAAAAAAAAAAATCACTTTAGTTTCTCCACTTTCACATTCCTGGTACAAAAGGATGACAGCCTGCAAACAAACTTACAGCGAAAATAAACAAACACCCCCCCAGCTGGAGAATGTCTTTTCCTTCTCTCCTTCCTTTCCCCCCC